AAAAAAAAAAAAGTATTTGCAATGAACAAGTTATTGGTCTTGCAGAATTCTATCATGCGATCTCATACTTCAGCACATGTTCAAATGGCCAACTCACTCAGGGAAGGGCCTCATAGTACATTAGTTCTATATTGTACAGCACCTGGCACTATGCCTCACATGCATGCGAGTACAAGGGAATTTCAAAATGTTTGTAGCAAAAGGAAATGAAAAGATAATGGAATTTGACACAAATTGTTTGAAACCCCCTTGAATTTATTAAGCATCTATGCTTGCTAGCTAACCATGGCTGTTCTGAAGCAATGCACTCTGGGTACCGTCTACCTTTTCTGCTGCTCGCTCACACAGCCTGTTTATCTCACAGCGACCAGAGAAACATCTCTAGAAGGCAGCTCCAACCTAATCGCATGCTTCCGTCCGTGGCTCCCCAAGCCTTTCTCCTTGGTCTGGATACCCTGAAACCACTGCCATCCAGTCAATTCCCACCGATGGTGGCTCCATATGGGGTTTGAGAGGCTAACTCTGTATGGGATAGACATCCTCATCTTTCTCCCTCAGAGTGGCTGGTGGGTTTGAATTGCCACAGTGGTCAGCATCCCAGCACACAGCCCATAGCACCACCTTTCCTTGTCTGGAGATGGCCGACTGATCCCTCATACTAAAGTCTGCTCTCCCCTTTCTCTGACTTCCTCATCTGGGCGGCAGCTGTCTCTGCTCTGTATTCTCCCTGCACCCGGAAGTGGACCTGTCTCCCAGAGCTTACCGTCATGTATTGTAACTCTCTGTGCCTCTGTCTGTGTCTCATCTAATTAGTTCTCCCACTTTCATCTCAGGGCTCTTTTATACTCTTAAAAGTTAGTGCAGCGCTCCAAAGAGCTTTCATTTGTGTGGAACACATCGCTCAATATTTACTGTTAGAAATTAAAACTGGAGAATTAATAAGTCCGTTACTTGTTAATATAAATAACACATAGTTATGAAAAATAACTGTTTCCCAAAACAACAAAAAATAAGAAGAGCAGAAACACTGTCGTTCGTCTTTGCAAATCGCCTTTGTGTCTGAACAGAAGAGAGCTGGGCTCTCAACTCTTCCGCATCCACCTCCTTCCATGTCACACACATCCCGTCACCACTGAGAAACACCACTGGATGGCTATGCGTTGGTAAGAAGTCTAAAAGTGTCTTCATATTCCTGAGAAAAGAGTTTAGACCTAGCAGACCCCTTAAAAGAGTCTCAGAAACCCATGGTGTGGTGCTATACGACAAGCGCCAAACTAGCAACTGCAAGGTTGGTGATTCAAACCCACCAGCCACTCTCAGAAACCCCATACAGGGTCGCTATGAGTGAGAGCCACTACAAGTTGGTACCACCTCCACAAGACTAAATAACAACCCAGAGGCCCCTGGGGCCCTAGAACACACCTCTAAATCTAGGCTCCAGAGGGCCGTGAAGGTGGTCCTGGTTTTTTGTTCATGTGTGTGGTAATGTCAAATACTGACATGGCGCACGGTTCATAACAAATACCTAGTGAGTGCTTTTTGAGTACCGGTCTACCTCATTGTACTGGGCTTTGCTCTGTGGCGCATCGCAGATTCTGCATTATTTTACAAATTGAAGGTTTGTAGCCATAGCGCATCAAGCAAGTCAACAGATGTCATTTTTTCCAACAAAGTAGGCTCACTTCACGTCTCTGTCACATTTCAGTCATTCTCACAATATTCCACATTGTTCCTAACACTAACGCACACTCTTCATAGGTAACTACAGCTTAAACAGAACTTTTATGTGCACTGGCAAACCCAAAACTTCATGGGACTCGCTTGATTGTGATATTTGCGTCATAGAGGTGGTCTGGAGCTGCCCGCAGTCACCCGTGGTCGCCTTGTGCATGAATAAATATGCAGCTGACTACTTGAGTCCAGTCTGCTTCCAGTCCATTCAGTGAGCATCTCCAAAGTAAGAGTCAACACAAAATTCAAAACGGAACGAACACAGTTTTGAGACGGCAATTAAACATCAATTACCATCCATCTGAATGAGCAGTTCAGACTTGACTCTTCGGCTTGCCTCATGTTCATCCGAAGTCCCTCTTCGACTGCAGATAGAATCGATCTCATCAATGAAGATCGTGGTGGGGGCATAAAATCTAGCCTTTGTGAAAATATTTTAAAGAAACCATTCAGTGATCTCATAAACGAAATTGAATAGGTCTTAAAATGCTGCTTTCTCCTTTAAAAACAATGGCCAAAGGGAGTGGGGACTTCCCACTGCTTTAATGGCACCACTGGGTATTTACTGACAGAGCTAAGAGGAAACATTGGCAACAGAACAAAGGAAGTGTCTGAAAACAACAGACAAGTTACACGGTTGGTGACGTCGGCTGACATATATGTGGGGATTCACTCATCCAGTCTACATTTGTGTTTAAAAATATCCACAGTGAAAATCCATTTTCTAAAGAGAAATCATCAAGCTCCTCAAATACACATTCTTACATAGTTGTTGCAAATCCCTCATGAAAACCAAATAAACTTTTATGACAGATTTATTTCCCACTGATTTTATACTGAAGTTTCCTTCAGCTCACCCAGCTCACTGTTGTGTGCCGTCGAATCAATCCTGACTTGCAGCGACCCCACATGACAGCATGGAACCACCCCATAGGATTTTCTGGGCTGTAATCTTTACGGGAGCAGACTGCCAAGTCTTTCTCCCAAAGACCTGTTGGGTGGGTTCAAACTGCCAACCTTGTGGTAAGCGGCAAAGTGCTTAACTGCTGCACCACCAGGGCTCCTAATCAGCTCACTAGAGATCGAGGCGTATCAGTCACCACACACACAGTGCAAGTCTCTTCCTCTTCCTTGACTAGACAAGTCACAGCCGTCTTTTTACAAACTGAGAACGGTACACTCAAGACACAGAAGCAACCCCCAACCCATCAGCCCGTATCTCTTTAGCAGAGTAGAACTAGTGTCCGCAGACCAATGGAGCTACGTCAGGGGCAGTATCACATGTCCATGCCAACACCACTCGAAGTCTGCATATATATCAGCACTCACCATTTCAAACAACAGACGAACTAACTTCTCAGATTCACCTCGATACTTAGACGTCAGCGTAGAAGAGGAAACGTTGAAGAATGTTGTGCCGCACTCAGTAGCAACAGCTTTCGCCAGCATGGTCTTCCCAGTGCCTGGTGGTCCGACCATCAGTACACCCTGAAATTTCAGAAGACGTACAAACGGATTTATCAGATCCAACTGTATAGACCCACTCCTTACTATCAACCAACATGGTCAGGCTCCAATGACCAAACCATTACACGGAAGCTGGCACTATGCAAAACTTAAATGACCAAATGTTCCTGAGGCTCCAAGAAGCCTTTTGGGGGTGACCCTCGTGGGGCTGTGTTCTCCCTGTGCAGCTGCAGCCAGCAGCTCCCAGGTTCCAAGCCGTGACTTCCAGGTAGTGACCTCCAGTGGGGCCAGTAGCTTGGCTTGTGCTGTTTCAAACTACACATAGAGCTGACTGGGTCAGGATTTGTAGCTAGAAAGGGGGCCTACCTGACCCGAGCTAGCAGAGTGCCTGCTCACCCAGGTCTGGCCCTTATGGCCCCTATGGTAGGTAATGTGAGCAATTCTGCTCCCTGCTCACAGAGCTCCAGGCAGCTACCAGCCTGAGGCCTGGCTGGGGTCCTGCCAGCCTGTGGCAGGCAGGCCAAGTAGTGTCCCAAGGCAACTGACCTTTCTTTTTTCAATCATTTCATTCAAATCCAAGGCCAGGGAGAGACATGGGCTGGGAGGGATGAAGGACTTACAGCTCAGAACCCACGGCTCCTTACCTGTCTGTCAGGTGAGTTAGAAGATCTTTGACTACAGCCATAAATGTGAACTGTAGGACAGTGAGCTAGTTAAGTGAGGAGGAGAACACATAGAAATCAAATTGACTACATCTGTGGAAGGAGAAGATGGAAAAACTCCATTTCATCAGTGAAGACAAGGCCAGGGGCAGACTGTGGAACAGACCATCA